TCCTTTTTACGAGAGATTAATTTGTAATATAGAGTATCTTTTTTTTTTGTGTTCTCCTCTTCTTCTATTTTTTGTTTTTCTTTTTTTTTTTTTTTTAATTTWTTTCATCGCAACGTAAATTAAAAATCAAAATATCGGATTTAATTAAACCGTGAAAGAGAGAGAGAGATGCGTATTCTGTATTTTGTATTATCCGTATTTTATTTTACTGTTCTTTTGTTTTTTTTTTTTCTTCCTTTCCTTTATATTTCGACGATGAAACTTTTCGGCTCGACTCTATTCCGAGGCTTTATTTTATTTTATTTTATTTTATTTTATGTTCTTTTTTGTTTTATTTTTTTCTTTCTTTCTCCACGTTTTGTCCCACGATCGAGAAAGAAACGAAATTGGATTGCACACGACGATTGCGTGGGCAGGGGTGAGGAAAGGGAGAGTAGAGGGGAGGATAGGGGGGAACAAAAATTTTCTAGCTGACTCGAATGCCAAGAAAAAATGGGGGGCTAAGCAAAAAATCCCGATGACGTGAGCGTATACTATTACTTCGTAGTATTTTTGTAAAACGATACGTGATACTCACAAAAAGGATGTAAGAAAAATTTCTTTCTTTCTTTTCTTTCATTCTATTCCTTTCTTTCATTCATCTATTTTTCATCTTCATCTAAATCTAGATCATGTGATTGAACAAACGAATATGATTCGAGCGTTAATTAATCGAGAGTTACCTTACGGATTACTAGGGAATCTATTACGTGAGAATATTAGGTATATAAGTTTCAGTCAGAAATGGGTTCAAGGTGCATTATATATGGATTAATAGTTAATCGATTATGGTTCACTGACAGCACGGATTATTCGATTAACATGAAAATCATTCTGACTGCTGGATCATCTTTCTCTTTCTCTTTCTCTTGTATTGCTAATTTATTCGCGTAACTTTATACTCGTTAGAATACACGTTCTTCTAAATACAGACAATATTAAGTTTGATAATAATACGATTTAATTAACTAATTTTCACAAAATTATAATATCAATAATAATATATATTTATATGAGGGGGGGGGGCTGGGGAGAAAAGAAAAAAATAATTGAGCGAGTAATCGTGAAAAAAAGAAAAATGTGGATTGGATTCGATTAATAATTTTGATTAACTTTGAAACAATGTAAATAACATTTCAATTAGATTTAAACCGAGAATAATTTGTTTCTATAAATTACGAAATAAAAATACTATTACGAACGTAATATATCTATATATATATATATTATAAAAATCACAAGATGATATTAGGTGTACAAATAAGTTTCCGCCGTTTTTTTATTAAAAATTAAGTATTTATTCTAGAAGAATGGTAATTTTAAGGTTATTTAAAATACTGTCCA